CTTCATCCACTTCCTCAGCACCCACCTCTGATTCCTCCCTCCTAACACAACCTCTTCCTCCCTGTACCATACGTGGATATACTATTTGTTTCCCAGGTTTTTCACACTCTAAAACTGCCTTTTATTCTCGTTAAAATTTGTTTACGATGCTTCAACCATTCTCTCATTTGCTCTTATTCTGCTCTCCAGTGCCACTCTTTTAACCTCTTTTGTTCTCCACATGTCCGGCTATATTGCCAGGCTACACACATTCAAATAACACAACTTCTAAATCTAAATTGTTTTCATTTTTAGTAAGTGATAAAGAAAAAGGGACTACAAGTCCCATATTCCTGGCACCTTCAGCTCTATGACATGCAAATACTTAAGAGATCAAACTTCAAATCCACTTTCCCAAATAAACTGGAAAGAAAATCCTTAAGTAAGACAAAGAAAAGTAAAGAGCATACTGAATATAAGTAGAAATATATAAGATTTACCTGTTACATTACATGTTCATGAGTTAGAAAGAAAAAACCAGCATTCCCATCAGAGTTCAAAACATTTAACATCCTCTTGTTTCACTTTTGCATGACAAAAGTGCAGTACATTACCTCCCTGAGCGGCTGCTGTCTGCCACTCTATTACCAGTTTGCTCTTTACAATAAGAGAGGAAAAAATCTAGGGACTAGCTATACAGTGATTTCCAGAGATAAAAACAAAATGGATAAAAGATGCAGAGAAAGCAGTAAGTATGTTAACTTCTTTTAGTTAATAAGAGGAACCATGATAACCACAGACAAGATCATGAATGTGTGAGCCTGTTACATTGTAATAAGTGAAGGCAAGTGATTTCTGGGACCTGTCATGCTGCCAGAGTGTGAGCAAGGAAACGTCTATGAAATAATTTGTAAATATTGTGCCTCTAGTTTCCATCTGTGGCTCCTCCTCCCTGGTCATTAGATAAAAATCTATAGGGGGTTTAGGGAAGCTAGTTAGGCAAACTTGACTTCTGGAGGTGGGATGTACATTGCCCACACTCTGAAGAATAAGTGAGGATGTTACAATACTGGATGTGGGATGTACACTGCCCACGATGAAGACTGGGTAAGGATGTTACAATCCTCGAGGTGGGATGTACAGTGCCTACACTCAGAAGAATGGGTGAGGATTTAATGATTCTCATGTTTATTTGTATCATGATATCTGTGCATTTTCTGAAAGAGAGCTAGAGAAGGAGGATGGTCAATGTGTTTCCTTCTTCGAGTCACCTGATCTTGTTGAGAAATGGTCACTGTTAAGAATGCCATAAAGTAATATACTAAACTATATAAAGATTTCTTAGCACTATCAGGTGAGAAAACAAAGTTACAACTGTACACCCAGGAAAATACAGTGATAAAAGACTAGGATAAAGTTTTTCTTACAAATAAAATAATGAATTAGGATTCAAGAGAAAGTATCAAGTGCTATGACCAATGGAAACTTGTAAAGATAATATAGAGTAGTCCCCCATATTCGTGAGGGATACATTCCAAGACCTACCATGGATACCTGAAACTGTGGATAGTAGCGAACCCTATACAGTTTTTCGTTTATGTAAATACCTATAATAAAGTTTAATTGATAAATTACACACAAAAAGTCCAGAATTACCACATTTTCACTGATGGGAAAGACTTCACAGCTTCTCTTAGGCTTTGAAGAGCTACTTTTGTGCTTTCAGGCCATTATTAAGCAAAATTAAAGGTTATTGTTGGGCCAAGGTAAATCGTAGATAGCTGAAACTATGGAAACCAAATACGCAGATATGAGGATTCTACTATATACAGTGGACTCCCGGTTTACGATATTATTTCATTCCAGAAATATGTTCAGGTGCCAGTACTGACCGAATTTGTTCCTATAAGGAATATTGTGAATTAGATTAGTCCATTTCAGACCCCCAAACATACACGTACAAACGCACTTACATAAATACACTTACATAATTGGTCGCATTGGGAGCTGATCGTAAACCAGGGGTCCACTGTATTACACATTAACACTGAAGACAAGACATCACCAGCATAGTTCTACTCCAGTAACTAGAGGGTACTAGGTAATGCTGAGTGCAGTCTTCAGTATTTAATACAGTGGACCCCCGGTTTACGATATTATTTCATTCCAGAAATATGTTCAGGTGCCAGTACTGAACGAATTTGTTCCCATAAGGAATATTGTGAATTAGATTAGTCCATTTCAGACCCCCAAACATACACGTACAAACGCACTTACATAAATACACTTACATAATTGGTCGCATTGGGAGGTGTTCGTAAAGCGGGGGTCCACTGTACATTGTAAAGTTTTGTAGAGTTTCCAGTGAGCATAGCACTTACTCTTCTTTCTTTCTTTCAACATACCAGCCGTATCCCACCGAGGCGGGGTGGCCCAAAAGAAAAAACTAAAGTTTCTCTTTTTAAATTTAGTAATATATACAGGAGAAGGGGTTACTAGCCCCTTGCTCCCGGCATTTTAGTCGTCTCTTACAACACGCATGGCTTACGGAGGAAGAATTCTGTTCCACTTCCCCATGGAGGTAAGAGGAAATAAACAAGAACAAGAACTAGAAAGAAAATAGAAGAAAACCCAGAGGGGTGTGTGTGTATATATATGCTTGTACATGTATGTGTAGTGTGACCTAAGTGTAAGTAGAAGTAGCAAGACGTACCTGAAATCTTGCATATTTATGAGACAGACAAAAGACACCAGCAATCCTACCATCATGTAAAACAATTACAGGCTTTTGTTTTACATTCACTTGGCAGGATGGTAGTACCTCCCTGGATGGTTGCTGTCTACCAACCTACTACCATAGGATGGTAGTACCTCCCTGGATGGTTGCTGTCTACCAACCTACTACCACAGGACGGTAGTACCTCCCTGGATGGTTGCTGTCTACCAACCTACTACCATAGGATGGTAGTACCTCCCTGGGTGGTTGCTGTCTACCAACCTTCTACCATAGGACAGTAGTACCTCCCTGGATGGTTGCTGTCTACCAACCTTCTACCATAGGACAGTAGTACCTCCCTGGATAGTTGCTGTCTACCAACCTTCTACCATAGGACAGTAGTACCTCCCTGGGTGGTTGCTGTCTACCAACCTTCTACCATAGGACAGTAGTACCTCCCTGGGTGGTTGTTGTCTACCAACCTTCTACCATAGGACAGTAGTACCTCCCTGGGTGGTTGCTGTCTACCAACCTTCTACCATAGGACAGTAGTACCTCCCTGGGTGGTTGCTGTCTACCAACCTTCTACCATAGGACAGTAGTACCTCCCTGGGTGGTTGCTGTCTACCAACCTTCTACCATAGGACAGTAGTACCTCCCTGGGTGGTTGCTGTCTACCAACCTACTACCATAGGACAGTAGTACCTCCCTGGGTGGTTGCTGTCTACCAACCTTCTACCATAGGACAGTAGTACCTCCCTGGATGGTTGCTGTCTACCAACCTACTACCTACATAGCACTTACTACCTATTGTAAAACACTCCACTGGTCAACCACTTGTCTTTGTGAAGAGAAACATTATAGTAATCTTTCTTCTTCCTTACTGTATAGTTATGGTCTCCTGTCCTGTCACATGATAGTGTTATAAAATATCCATTATTGATTGATCACACATGATCGCTTGGTCTCCCTTGCTCTCTTTCAAGTCAAATGCTGACAATGTGATGAGTACTAACACTGACAACATGATGAGTACTAACACTGACAACATGATGAGTACTAACACTGACAACATGATGAGTACTAACACTGACAACCTGATGAGTACTAACACTGACAACATGATGAGTACTAACACTGACAACCTGATGAGTACTAACACTGACAACATGATGAGTACTAACACTGACAACATGATGAGTACTAACACTGACAACATGATGAGTACTAACACTGACAACCTGATGAGTACTAACACTGACAACATGATGAGTACTAACACTGACAACATGATGAGTACTAACACTGACAACATGATGAGTACTAACACTGACAACATGATGAGTACTAACACTGACAACCTGATGAGTACTAACACTGACAACATGATGAGTACTAACACTGACAACCTGATGAGTACTAACACTGACAACATGATGAGTACTAACACTGACAACATGATGAGTACTAACACTGACAACATGATGAGTACTAACACTGACAACATGATGAGTACTAACACTGACAACATGATGAGTACTAACACTGACAACATGATGAGTACTAACACTGACAACATGATGAGTACTAACACTGACAACATAATGAGTACTAACACTGACAACATGATGAGTACTAACACTGACAACATAATGAGTACTAACACTGACAACATGATGAGTACTAACACTGACAACATGATGAGTACTAATACTGACAACATGATGAGTACTAACACTGACAACATGATGAGTACTAACACTGACAACATGATGAGTACTAACACTGACAACCTGATGAGTACTAACACTGACAACATGATGAGTGTAAAATACAGGAGGACCCTGCATATACAGCACTTATTTTTGATGTTCCAATTTTCATTGGCTTTCAACTGAGCCATTGTTCCGTCCGCCGGTGACAATCACCGCTGGATGGAACATAATAAACAATGACTCAGTTTGAAGCCAACATTAACTCTAGTGGAATACCGAAAAAAAGATACTAAGAAGATGCTGTACGTGCAGAGTCCTCCTGTACTGACAACATGAGTATTAACCCTTAAACGGTCCAAACGTATATATACGTTTTTTCAACATCTGAAAGTATGTAAAAAAAGTAGATCTACTTTTGTAGCAATACGAATTTGAACGTCGATCTGTTTGGACTGTTTAAGGGTTAAATCTTCAAACACTTAAGACTCTAGCTAAAAAGCTATGTGAAGATAGTGCATATTATATTAACAAGCAACTGTTGCAATCAACATTCTGCAATACCACATGCAACACTAGACAACTAAACTTACATAGATGAGTAGAGGAACTCCAGAGATTGTCGCTTGCACAGACTACACGCCATAATGGAAACATGAGGTTATTTAGTGAGAGGAAGGTGGCAATAAGATTTGTTAATGTTATATATATATATATTGGGGGGAAATATACACTATTTTATTTCTTAAATCTAGTAATTAATGATCAGTTCCCATCCCAGGTAAATATAAAGCACTGTTTATTATTTACTACTGACTTTGAAGGTTCAAAATCAAAAGTTTGGTACTAATTTATGATGAAGAATTCTAAAAAACTGTGCGAAGAACATTTTCAACACACAACACAAGCCTCACCAGAAGGAAAAATTGAAATTACTGTCTACATACCACAACAAACTGTCTCAACACTGCTAAACGCTTACACTATTTTTTATACAATAAAGACAGTTAAGAAAATGTATTCTCTGTGCTACTTACGTTTCCATGTGCTGCCGGTACGTCGGGGGGTACGCTGTACCGAGTCGGGCATCTGGAAAGGATACATACCAAGCTGCTTTCATTTATTTGGTGAATTCTACACTACATGAAATTCATGGATAAAATGGAGACATCAATCAAAGATTTTTTTCATACACTTATAAATGAATACATGTACACATTTACACTTATAAGCTGATTTGTACATAAATAACATCTTACTATAGCATTGTGCCCACGAACAAGTGGTATTGATCAATAACAACACTGTGACTACCCAAGGACTCGAACCCTTGCTGCCTTGGCCTGCCTCATGGTGGGCGAAAACTCATGATGCCTTAATCCACTGGACCATACAATTCATGGTTCAGTGGATTAAGGGGTCGTGAGTTTTCGCCCACCATGAGACAGGCCAAAGCAGCATGGGTTCAAGTCCTTGGCTAGTCGCAGTGTTGTTATTGATCTTACTATAGTATGTATAGTAATTTCACCAGATAAACAAAGACACAAGGAGCATTAGTCATACTTATAAATACAAGATATACAATACCTATACAGTATATACAAGGAAGTATTTTGTTTTTGCACAAGTGTATGTGCACAAGTGTATGTGCACAAGTGTATGTACACACAACCTGTTGAATTTCTATGACAAAGCAGCAGATGTGAGACAGGAGAGAGAGAGAAGGAGAGATGGATAGCATCTTTTCAGACTGCAAGAATGTATTTGATACTTAGGTTAGATAAGGTTTGTCAGGAAACAGGACAAGTGTTTCCTGATGCAGGTCTTAGTCAGATGGTGAATCACAGCTGGAACTTTTGGTCATCTGACCGAGGCCTTCCACTGGCTTACCACTCCACCCCTTGAAAAATTATTGTTATGATTATAACCATTAGATATATGATACTGTGCCCCACAAGAGGATGGGTAAAATCTTGAGGTTCAGGTAAGAATAACAAGGCAGTGACTCTGGTGGATCAAAGAGCAACCTGGGAAAAGGAAGCAAAGAGCGATGGACACAGAAGAAACATCAGAACAGGGAAGAGTAATTAGTCAGGGTTCACAATGATTGGCATTACGACCAGTACTGTTTGTAGCTCGTGTGGCTGACATTCCAGATAAGATTGATTCACATGAATCCCTGTTTGTTGACATTGTGAAATTGATGAGAATAAAAATAGATGAGGACACGGCAAGGTTTCAGTGAATCTGGACCAACAGCAAGATTGGTCAGATAAGTGGCTGCTTGAATTCAACCCTGGTAAATGCAAGGTAATGAAAGTTAAGGAAGAAGCAAAAAGACCAGGAGAGAGAAAGACCCATGGGTGAGAATAGTGTCTAATATATCACCAGAGGCTCACATTGGCTGAATAATATCTGCAGCCAATTCTTTTCTGGCAAATCTGAGAGTAGCATTCAGGAATCTCAACAGAGAGTTGTTCTGGGCACTCTATACAACATATATCAGGATGAAAATTTAGACACAAGTGCAACATCTGGGTATCTTCACGACTATGGTACTCTTCACACCAACTCCAAGGCTGAGGGACTGATTACCTCATCTTTTGTATATAGTTCTTCTGTCTTCCAATTATGTCCTTGAATTTGTATTGATAAAGCCAGAGGATGGTGAAACGTCTACAATAAAGATATCCAGATGTTGCACATGTTTGTAATGTTTCTAAATTTTCATCTTGTTGGTATTGTATACCATTCATGTATAACATATATCAGGCCCATCTTAGAGTATACAGCACCAGTATGAAACTCACACTTGAAAAAGCATGTTAAGAAACTGGAGGAAGTGCAGAAGTATGCAGTGAATATTGTCCAGAGCTAAGAGACATGAGCTATAAGAAGAGGTTAAAGGATTTGAATTTGATAACAACAGAGGGCAGAAGAAGCGGGAAAGGCATGATAACATACAAAATACTCAGGATAATTGACAAGGTAGACAAGGACAGGCTTTTTGAAAGGTAAGAAAAGGATGCTTGGAAACACAGGTGGAAGTTAATGATACAGATGAGTTACAAGGGATGTCAGAAGCATTTCTTGCCACAGAGTGGTAAGGAAGTGGAATTATCTTGCTGAAGAAGTGGTGGAGGCAGACTCCATACATAGTTTTAAAACTATGTATGAAGTCTCCCTCAATGAGGCTAAAAGGAAGCCTGCCTCAATGAGGCCAGAAGGGGACCTGCCTCAATGAGGCTAGAAGGAAGCCTGCCTCAACGAGGCTAGAAGGGAACCTGCTTCAACAAGGCAAGAAGGGAACCTGCCTCAACGAGGCTAGAAGGGAACCTGCTTCAACAAGGCAAGAAAGGAACCTGCCCCAACGAGGCTAGAAGGGAACTGCTTCAATGAGGCTAGAAGAAAGCCTGCTCAACGAGGCTAGAAGGGAACCTGCTTCAATCAAGCTGGGAAGGGAACCTGCCTCAATGAGGTAGAAGGAAGCCTGCCTCAACAGTGAGAAGGAACTCTTCAACAAGGAAGAAGGGAACCTGCCTCAACAGGCTAGATGGGAATGCTTAACAAGGCAAGAAAGGAACTGCCAACAGTAGAGGAACCTGCCTCAATGAGCTAGAAGGAGTGCCAATCAAATATTTAGAAGGGAACCTTTCAACAACAAAGGGAACTGCTCAATGAGCTAGAGGAAGCCCTGCACTCAACGAGGCTAGATGGGAACTGCTTCAACAAGGCAAAAAACTGACCTCAACGATGCTAGAAAAGGGAAACCTGCTTCAAACTAAGGCAAAGAAATGGAACTGCCAACAGGATGGGAACCTCCTCATAGTAGATGGAAGCTCCTATTACAAGACTAGAAGGAACACTTCAACAAGGCAAGACAGATGAACCTGCCTCAATGAGGCTAGAGGAAGCCTGGCTCAACGATGGCTAGAAGGGAACCTGCCAACAAGGCTAGAGGAACTCATCAATGCAAGTTAGAAGGAAATGCTTCTGGCATGGGTAAGTTGAGAGGAGAGGCCGGAACTCACTCTGTCCCTGTTATCACAAACAGGTGAGCAATCTAATTAGTGAAATGATGTAAATGGGTGTCCTCTTCCTCAGGGTCCTCTAATCAGCGAGATAGATGGACTTAAAAACATGTTGAAGAAGTGGAATGTTAAATATGAAAACACAATGCGCAAAGTAGTAACACAATAAATTACTATAAATAAACATTATACACAAAGCTATGATTGTTAAGCAAAACCTTTCATTCAATGTACAACATTCCAACTTAATAATTCGTCAATTAAAGCTATTATCCAAAGCAAAAACAATCGTACAAATTCAATAAAAAGTTTTAAGAGAAAACATAAGCCAGTCAACAATGCAAGTTAGCACACAACATGATTTCCCTCATATAATAGCAAGTGTTAATGCACCAAAACACATCGGGTCTTAAAAATCATACTGAATTATCTAGGCATCAAACCATGATATTAACGTTTCAATGGAAGGGGTTAATCACTACGGACAACCCCGGTCCATATTGTCATTTTATATAGACAATAACACACATGACTCAGAATAAAGCAAGTGTACAGCACGCAACGAACCTCGTCAAAAAGGTACATTCTGTTTTACAGCAGGGAACTCCACTTAAAAATCCAAAACAGTGTTATCAAACTACAATGCAGCGTTCAATCAATGCAAGTGTCTACAGGCACTACAACAAAACATTTCCTCAGTTTTCAAACAAGTTTATGTGCAAAATTTCACAACTGTAAATTAGCAATGGATTGTTATTAGGTATCCCTCTCTCATAATAAAGCAAGTAGACTATGCACCAACAACACACATCGTCAATCAAAGCAATGTTAAGCACCAAATCACATCTTTAACCATCAATAGGATGCAAAATGTTATGCACCAACACACACTCCGTCAATCAATGCAAGTGTTACAGCACCAACACACACTCCGTCAATCAAAGCAAGTGTTATAGCACCAACACACACTCCGTCAATCAATGCAAGTGTTATAGCACCAACACACACTCCGTCAATCAATGCAAGTGTTATAGCACCAACACACACTCCGTCAATCAATGCAAGTGTTATAGCACCAACACACACTCCGTCAATCAATGCAAGTGTTATAGCACCAACACACACTCCGTCAATCAATGCAAGTGTTATAGCACCAACACACACTCCGTCAATCAAGCAAGTGTTATAGCACCAACACACACTCCGTCAATCAATGCAAGTGTTACAGCACCAACACACACTCCGTCAATCAAAGCAAGTGTTATAGCACCAACACGCCATCAGTCAATCAAAGCAAGTGTTATAGCACCAACACACACTCCGTCAATCAATGCAAGTGTTATAGCACCAACACACACTCCGTCAATCAAAGCAAGTGTTATAGCACCAACACACACATCGTCAATCAAACAAGTGTTACAGCACCAACACACACTCCGTCAATCAATGCAAGTGTTATAGCACCAACACACACACTCCGTCAATCAATGCAAGTGTTACAGCACCAACACACACTCCGTCAATCAAAGCAAGTGTTATAGCACCAACACACACTCCGTCAATCAATGCAAGTGTTACAGCACCAACACACACTCCGTCAATCAAAGCAAGTGTTATAGCACCAACACACACTCCGTCAATCAATGCAAGTGTTACAGCACCAACACACACTCCGTCAATCAAAGCAAGTGTTTATAGCACCAACACACACTCCGTCAATCAATGCAAGTGTTATAGCACCAACACACACTCCGTCAATCAATGCAAGTGTTACAGCACCAACACACACTCCGTCAATCAAAGCAAGTGTTATAGCACCAACATGCCATCAGTCAATCAAAGCAAGTGTTATAGCACCAACACACACTCCGTCAATCAAAGCAAGTGTTATAGCACCAACACACACTCCGTCAATCAAAGCAAGTGTTATAGCACCAACACACACTCCGTCAATCAAAGCAAGTTTTTAAGCACCAACACACACTCCGTCAATCAAAGCAATGTTATAGCACCAACACACCATCCAGTCAATCAAAGCAAGTGTTATAGCACCACACA